GAAATATGGTTATCTGTAGTACTAGATTCCAGCATAAGAAGATTCATCAAGCTACCTGGCTTTCTCCGGATCGAAAAACCACCAACCAGATCGATCATGTTGTGATAGACGGAAGACACGTCTCCAGTGTTTTAGATGTGCGTGCACTACGAGGTCCTAACATCGACTCGGACCACTAGCCCTCTGTGCAGCAAATGGCGCACGTCAACAAACACAAGGAAGTTTCGAGGTCTACTCGGCTTGCACTCCTGCTCTCTGAGAGCACTCGTCAACAACTCGGTATAAGGGAACTGTGGGACGGCATTTCAAACTCCTTACGTACAGCCGCAACCGAAACCATTGGTTTTAGGAAAGTACAAAAGAACAGCTGGTACGACGAGGAGTGCCGTGTCGCAGCGGAGAGAAAACAGGCTGCCTACCTCCCAACGTTACGATCGACCACAACACGTGCAGGATGGGATAGATACCGAGAGTTGAAGAGGGAAGCGAGACGCATATGCAGACAGAAAAGAAAGAGGCCGAAATGCGTGAGCACGAAGAGCTTGATAAGCTGGCCGATAGGGGTGATGCTCGAAAATTCTACGAAAAAATGCGGCGGCTTACAGAAGGTTTCAAGACCGGAGCATACTCTTGTAGAACCCCTAAAGGATTATGGAGGGAACACTTCTCCAGTGAACCTGAATGGCAGTGAACGCAGCATCGCGTGCGTATGGAGCAGTCGGGATGATGATGGTCGTTCCATTGCCCGACCAGGAAGAAGTTCGAATAGCAATTATCCGCCTAAAAACAACAAAGCGGCGGGGCCGATGGATTACCGGCCGAGCTATTCAAACACGGCGGCGAAAAACTGATTAGGAGCATGCATCAGCTTCTTTGTAAAATATGGTCGGACGAAAGCATGTCCAACGATTGGAACTTAAGTGTGCTGTGCCCAACCCTCAAAAAAGGAGACTCCACAATCTGCGCCAACTCCCGTGGGATAAGCCTCCTCAATATCRCATATAAGGTTCTATCGAGCGTATAGTGTGAAAGATTAAAGCCCACCGTCAACAAACTGATTGGACCTTATCAGTGTGGCTATTCACCATGCGCCAAATCTTGGAAAAGACCCGTGAAAGGAGAATCGACACTCACCACCTCTTCGTCGATTTCAAAGCTGCTTTCGACAGCACGAAGAGGAGCTGCCTTTATGCCGCGATGTCTGAATTTGGTATCCCTTCACAACTTATACCAGCACCAAAAGATCCGTCAGAATCGGGAAGGACCTCTCC